CTTTACATTTTTGCGTTCAACGAAAACTCAAAAATAATTTTATTTTATCAAATATACCATTAAACTTTTGATGACGACTGCTTAATATTCCAGCAGAAATCTCAGTGTTGAAAATTCACACTTTTTTGTTAAAGACTTTGACAGATCAGGAGAACAAGCAGTGTACTACATTAATCACAGCCAACCTGATTATTGTAAATGTTTAGCTGTACAACAACGTTTACAGCGTGATTCTAAAAGACATTAAAAATTCTGAAACAAAACATGATAACATTAGTTGCAAAAATTTTTAACAATCATATTTTTGTAATTGTTTCTAATAAAGACATATTGAATTTTTCAATTATACGGTCAAATGTTAAAGCATACTGAAAAAAATAGATATTTTGAAAACTCAGAAACTAAAATATAATCTTGAGAACAAACAATAAATTTTGTTATAAGTGTAGATAAAATTTATTTTTAGTGACTTTCAGTAACAACAGTTTTTTATCTATAAGGTTTAAAAAAAATTGTTACTGAAGATTCGTGAACTGCGTAAGCTTTGGATACGGTAACAATTAGTGGAATTATGACAATTTGTTTTTCTGGAGTTGAATTCACTCTTATTGCTTCAAACATGCAAAAACCAGACATCGTGACAAAAAGTTTATTGAGAAGTTCATTTGTAAAATGACCAACCGCTGCAGCGCTAAAGCTGAGAAACTGCTATCAGTGAACTCCGAATTTAATAAGTCCTTTGCCTAACCAGTCAAATTGCTGTAGACAACCAAAACTTTCTTTACACTGCCGTATAACAAATAACTCATCTGGTTACCTGGCAGACTTAGATAACCTCTAAACAAACGGCTCTGGAGAAACCAATAAAGTGTTATCAGTATGAAAAGATTTTGTAAAAGTTGCCTGCTCATGATAATAAAGAATATTACAGCTGAACTGGCCAGCGAATGTTTGGTATATTAAGAAGATGGTTTTTCTTGAACAGCATAAATCAAGCATATTAACCAAAATTGTTCAACTATTTCAAGCTTCCTTTTTTTCTTTGTCCTTTTTTAGCTGTAAACTCATGCAAATAAACTTCTAATAGAAAAGTGTTTTTAAAAATTCAAAAAAAAGTTACTGTGTTATAAAAACGTAAGCAAGTTCTCAAATAATCAGCAAAACCAAATTACTCATTCTGAATATTCGAGACGCTTAATAAGAAGCTTACAGTACTCATAGTTTAGTGAAGTTTGACGTCGACGCATACAGGATTTGTCGTTCGGTTTAAAGTTCTACACGAAGTTCTTCGTAGGACTGATTTTTTGGCAAAAATTTGATAATAGCATGT